CCTGTTGTCCACCAGGACTCCCAGGTCCCTCTCCGCAGAGCTGCTCTCCAGCAGGTCTGCCCCAAGCCTGTACTGGTGCATGGGGTTGTTCCTCCCCAGGTGCAGGACCCTGCATTTGCCCTTGCTGAATCTCATCAGGTTCCTCTCTGCCCAACTGTCCAGCCTGTCCAGGTCTCGCTGAATGGCAGCACAGCCTTCTGGTGTATGCACCACTCCTCCCAGTTTTGTGTCATCAGCAAACTTGTTGAAGGTACACTCTAACTCCATCAATGATCCAGATCATTGATGAAGAAGTTGAAAAAGACTGGACCGAGTACTGACGCTTGGGGGACACCACTAGTTACCAGCCTCCAACTAGACTCAGCGCCGCCGATGACAACCCTCTGAGTTCTGCCATTCAGCCAGTTCTCAGTCCACCTCACCAACCACTCATCCAGCCCACACTTGGGGTTCTATGTTCCCATCTTGCAGGGTAAGGGTTTCTATCAGTAACCCTTCCTTTTTTTTGAGAGAGAGTTCTCAAATGAGATTCTTCAGTACTGATACTGTTCTTCAAATGCTCCAGTTCTCTTTAGAATTTTTTTTTTGCTTCCACTGTATCCTACAATATGGCATTTAATATGCATTATGTGGAAAATACACCTTGTACTTTGTTTTGAGCCTGCCACCTGTTTGTTTTGTTTGATGGCCTTTAGCTATTGCATTGACAGATTTTCTATGGCTAATAAGCTGTTTCCCATTTGGCTTTTTTCAGTGCTCACTCTCTTAGTGTTTTAAATACTGAAGTTCTCAATGTGGGATAAATCTGCTGCATAGAGAAAGAGCGATAGGACTGTTGGCACTAAAGGTGGAAGGAAGATATTGGAGCGCTCATGTTGGGACCAGAGTTTTGCCGTTTAGGAGAAAAACAAAATTAGAGCAAATGGCTGGCTTTAAATGTAAGGTAGGATGTCTTGCTAAAACGTTGTAGGAATAGTGCTCCACGGTGATGTAATCTGTGAATCCAATCTTAAGCAATGGAGTTTCTGAATCACAGAAAATGCAAAACCATATGTACAACTGTCTCAATCTTGGTTTTGATTATTGTAGAAGTATTTGCATACTTCAAGGCAAGGTACTTTTAGACATTTTCTTACTGGTTGACTGTGGACTAAAGATTCTTTTAATATGAAAAATAGCCAAAGTTATATGCTGAGAAAAATGGGTGGGGGGTGCATTAGTCAATAAATTAAGGGGGGATCTTTCACTTCCATTTTTTCCCCTTTGCTATTTTGATGAAGTTTCCCTTCTTCTTAAAAAAAAGGAATCACTTTTAGCTACTTTTCCTTACTTGGAAACAGTTGTGGATTCAATTATTTTTCTCAAGGTGGCAGATAAAATTCATAATGTGAGATGTGGATGAAAGCCTCATAAAATGCCATATTCTTATCTGTATGGTGCCCCTCAGTGCAGGTGTACTAAGCTGGTCTGAAAACAAGATCTGTGCCTGCCTCTGTTTCTTGGGGGTGGGGGCTTGCTTTTTGTCGTGTCCCCCCCCCCCCTTTTTTTTTTTTTTTTAAGAAAACTAAATGGTAATTTTGAAGTCCTTATCAACAGGTTACTAATGATAAGGCTTGCAGCTAACATTTTGTAAAGAATGATGTCTTGGATTATTTACGTGATGGAACATCTTACGAATAGTTGAACTGTTTTAACTGTTTTTTTTGCCAGTTGCATGTGAAGAAAACTGACAGAATGTTTCAGAAAATATAACTAAATATCTTTCACTTTAAAATAGAGATTTGAGAGATTATGGCATCTGAAGCCCACAATGCTAGAAAACAGAAAGTACTGCATATTGAAGGTTGTCCTATTGATCTCCCCAGAAAAAGAATCTCTTCTTCCACTAAAAAGATCATGAAGGAGGTAAGTTGTTTGGTTGTTTGTGTGTTGTTTTTTTTTTTACCATGTTCTCCCATGAAACTGAAGTAAACATTCAAACAAATTCATAGTTCTGAGCAGTCTATAACTAGAAGCACAGGGCTGTTGAGCACTTCTTTACTATGAGGGTGGTGAGGCACTGGAACAGGTTGCCCAGAGAAGTCGTGGATGCCCCCTCCCTGGAATTGTTGAAGGCCACGTTGGATGGGGCTTTGAGCAACCTGGTCTAGTGGAAGGTGTCCCTGCCCATGGCAGAGGGGTGGAACTAGATGATCTATAAGGTTCTTTCCAACCCAAACCATTCTATGATTTCTTGTTTAGATGTGCAGTAGAACTTTGTCTGAACAGCGATTATATTATGAAAACTATGCATTGTAATAGACACGCGCAGTGACTACACAGATACGTGCATCGTATCGTCCATGTGAGCAGTGGGTACCGATACGGTTTTACTCACTACTACTTTTCAACAGTCTAGCCAAGAACTGTTTCAGTAGAGTAATTCTATCATCATAAAGCACTCTCTTGCCAAGAGAGCTACATGGCACAAGTGAGAGGTGGGATATGTGAAATACCTGCATTGAAATGGACCTGTCATCTTGTTACCATACAGCTTGATCTAGCACATTGTCTAGTAATGTGTACTTTCACTGGATTCTTGTTAGTCAGAAACATTTCCTCATAACCTCTTGCCTGTAGTACTGGCTGGAGAGTAGGTGAGGCGGTGGAGTACAGAGGTAGTGCTAGGGAGGTAAACTTACTGTAAAATCATGTCAAACAGTGGTGAAGATGCAAATATCCTCTATGTCTGTTTATTGAAGTTATGTATTAAAACACATAATTTTTTGACTCAAGGTTACGAAAAAAATCACAGCGTTATTTTGCTGATGTGCACAATATAAATGTTAAGTAGTGTAAATTTTTGAGTTGAAATGCCTGCAGTATATGAGCATTGTACTTGTTTATATGAAAATACATATTTCTAACTTGACTATCTTAGTGCTTTTTTATTTTTAATTTATTTACTGATGAAGAAAAAGTAGACCAGAATGTCACAATTTAACTCATCTTCATTACAAGAGGCTTTAAAACATTCAAGATTACTGTATAAATAAACTTTAGAAATTCATCTTCAAATTGTGTTGCCCAGTTTCAAAGGTTTTACTAATCTGTGTGGCACAACCTTAAATGAATTTTGTGATTCCTCTGGGATATCACTGTTCTATACAGTGTAATTGTTGTCAGGGTGCTAATCTGTTCGATGTGAATGGATTTGGGATAATCAAGCTGGTGTTGTCGACAACAGTCTTGATTTTTTTTTTTTGTCTTTGATATTGTTGTACTTTGAGGAGGTGTTCTGCCGTCATCCTTCCCAATGCTAGCATCTGCTGTATTATGGGCCTTTAAATACGTGTGAGACAAGTAATGCAATTTTGCCATCAGATTCCAGTAGACTTTTGATGTTAGTCATAGTTTTTAGTTTCCTTAGTAACTAAGGAATCTCTCTGATGTCACAGTCCCATCTCTTGCCAAAGATACCTCAAGCCCATAGCTGACTATGGTGCTCCAAGGACAGCTATGACAGAGCTACTCCATTGATAGCTTGCTGTGAAATACCTTAAGATTGTAGGAAGGTTAACGTAGCTGTGCCTTAGTTGCAGAATGGGAAGAGTGGGTGGAACGGAGGGAGTCTGGTAAACTTACGCCGGGTTAAAACAGGACTTCTTTTTGACAACCCATGGGAGTGTTTGAGCCTGCTTAGTAATAGTGCTTTCTTACTGTCTATTCCCTTTCTCCTAGGGTAAGAAATCTCCAAAACAGCTGGCTTCATACACAAACAGGTAGGAGGGCTGTGCTGTATGGAGTCTGTGTTTCAAATGAGAGGGAAGCAGGGAGGAAGAAGCAGTTTAAATCTATTGCAGCACCCAAGCAGACACAAATGGAAGACAGGTCTTAATTTTACTGACAATACTTGGTTCTGGTGTTCACCTCCATAATAAGGAGTGTCTGCATGAATAAAAGCAGGAGAAAAATATTGGTGGTAGCTCTTACTTCTGATAACACAAATGTCGTAAAGGTATATCTTGGGGTTAAAATGTTTTAAGTAACCTCAAGTTGACTGCTGAATTCATAGTAATATATTTTAACTTAACACAAAGTATTGCTTAGGTTTATAGCAACCTTCACTAAAATACTGCTTTATTACTGCAGAATAACAGTTGGAAAAACGGTGACCAGTCCCCTCTCTCTTTTCAGAGTAGTATATTGTAAAAGAAAAGTTCACTGTTATACTCCAAAGCCTTGTTACAGAAAGAAACAGTTCCCTAAATCTAGGGGCTGTGACATGGCAAATAAAGAAAATGAACTGGCTTGTGCAGGGAATCTGCCAGCAAAACTGCACGAGAGTCGTATGCACTTGCTGAATTCTAGTGACTCTGGCTCATCTCAGACAGAAGGCCCCTCATCCAAATATAGTGGATTTTTTTCAGAGGTAAGTAGAGTTTAAAGAAACTTTAGTTTAAAATAAAAAGTATTCCTCGTAGTTTGTTTGTGTGGTTAGCTCTGAAAGTTTTCAGAGATTAATTTTCTTAACATTTGGGTTGGCTCAGGTCTTGTGATTTATGGTCTTTATCTGTCAATTTACAGTGATAGTTGCCAACAGTAGTAGTCCTGCCAGTTTTCCCCGTGTTTGTGTTAGCACAGGAGCTCAGATCTGCCAGGGTAATCTGGGTTAAACTTGTACCAGCACCAAAGGAGAATATTGTTTTGACCTGGTTAGGTTTTGTGATCTGGCATGATGCATGGCCTGATGTATGTTTATGGAAGTGTGGAAGTGATAGTGTATGGATGGAAATAAGCTGGTGAGGTGGGATAGGACCATTTTTAATAGCAGTATCAGTTTAGAGTGTATGAAACTAACTTAAGTGTTTGTATAAGACTGTATTTCTTGGTAAGATTGCTTGATGAAACCCAGTGAAGGCATGCAGAGCTTCTGAAACTGGCTAAAAGGTCAGATATTTAAATGAAACAGGTTTTGTGACAGTGAAGTTGAAGTTTCTGTTTCTGTCGCCATAGATGTTTATAACCTCTTGAGGCTTGCAGATGTTTAAAGTGAGGCATGGCAGGGAAGCTAAGATCGAGGACTATCACCATGCTGTCTTTTCATGGTACTGCAAGTGTGGGCTGCCATGGAGAGAGCGCCCCGGGAGTCCAGTGGGCTGGAGGTACAAGTCTGTGGCACTTCTGCACTCCATTGAATTTGATGGTTTCAAGGAAGGAGGAGGAGAATAGCTGGAGCAGAGAGGTTGTAGAAAGAGGGGTAAAGAGATGAAGACTGGGGAAGGTTCTTCCTCTGCAAAACTAAAGACCAGATCACTGGCCACAGATGACTGTTGAACTGGTTTGAGAGATGTGGGTGGCTCTGCAGTGTTTGTTCTGATTAAAGACTTTAATAAAATACCTAAATATCATTCCGAGAACAGGCTTTTACAGAAATCAACCTTTTCTGTCAAGTTCAGAATAATGCATGTAATTACTTCTGTCTAAATTGTTAAAGTTCTCAAAATTAATAAGCATCTAAGTATAAAGTTCTCAGTGAGAATTATAGGTTGATGCTCATGAATGCTGTATTTAGTTACTAGATACCTTTCTTTAGCTGTCTACAGACCTTATTCTTGTAGCTTTTGGGTAAAGTAGCCTTAATCCATTTGTGTCCCCTTCTAAGGGAAATTTGTGTTAAGGTCTTGGTTAGCTAAGTTTCTAGAACAGACTTATCAACATACAGGTATGAAAGTATATTTTCATATACTAAATCACTGTATTAGAGGAGCTTATTGTGTTGTTGCTGGCTGCTTGACTTCTGATAAACTTTTATATTTTTGAAAATGTACAGTTTTCGAAGTATAAGTGAACTGGTAGCCTACTTAGTGAGGTAAACTGAGTGCCTCTTCTTCTATATTCTTAAAGTGATATCAATCCCAAATATGCTCTGGTATTTTCAGGGGTACCTTTAACATTGTAACTTTGGTATTCTTTAAATCATTGTGGAAGCGTGTACCTCAGTCTATGCACTACTAGTAACACTTCTGATTTTACTCCTGATATTTCTAGGATACAGGATCTTGGAGTAGTAGTAGACTGCCTTCCTGTGCTTACAAACAGGTACAGACAAAAAGAAGTGGGGGTTAAGAATCTGCTATAACCCTGCAGAAGTTCAAGCACTTCTGATACGTCTTGTTTTTTAAGTTTACAGGAAGAAAAACCATATATTTCAGTTGGCTGCTGTGTAGATCTTTTGCCTTTAGTGAAATCACTGCTTAAAAGCAAATATGAAGAGTAAGTATCAGTTTCGGATGTTTTTAAAACACTATTACTTCCTGGCTATGCAGTGCTCTAGAAATTAATGGTATTTAGTCCTCTGACTCTTGTTCCTTCTGCCCCTTCTCCCAACGCTGCCTTTCTCAGGAAACATCTACCTGAAGGGGAACTTTCCTGTGAACCTTTCTGCTTTAACAAACTAGTGGTGCAATAACTCTTTTCTGCAAGCTTAAGGACTTAGCAGATTTACTTACCCTGAACAGTAAAACAGAGTAGTACCGATGTTTTAGTATGCTTATAACATGAAATCAAGGAAATGTTTTCAGGCAAAATACCTGAAGAATTTCTACTTTTTCAACAAGAACTTCAGTTTACCACTTTGAAATTGAAAACACAGGCAAGTATTTAAACTTGCCAATTTGTCTAGATTTTTTTCTTCTAGAACAGAAAACACATTGCTTTATAAGTTGCTTACCAATTTGTCTTAACACTTTAGCTGACCTGTAGATATTGGAGTGGAGGGGAAAAAAGCATAATGTGTAAAATATGTTGTTACAGATACGTGATAGTTGGTTTAAACTGGCTTCAGGCTGTCATTAAACGATGGTGGTCAGAACTATCTGCACATACAGAAAAGGCAGAGGATGGGTGAGTATAGTATGGTGAAAGATGTGTTTCTGTAGCTTATTCTTTCTCAATCTATTTTAACTTTGATCAGTAGGAGCATGCCTTATCTACGAGAGGAAAAAAAGGTACTCGTAATTTGAAAGTGAAAGCTTAGAAGTACTTAAAAGAAGTTCTTCTGTTCTTAAGACACAGGTGTTTGGAAACTTAATTAAGGATTGTCATGTTTTGGGGGATTTTTTTACTGGAGTTTTAATAACTGTAGAACATAGTTGTCAGAGGTTACAAAAATGCTGTGAAAGTTGTATCAAAATTGTTCCCATATTGTGGCAATATCTATCATATAGACTAAGTCTATATGCAGTATTAATCGTGTTTGAGTGAAAGTCTACTGAAATGTAGTATATATGTTATAAAGCGTTCATTCTTTTTTCAGAAATATTCATATTTTAAAACAACAGTTAAGTGGATTATGGGAACAGGAGAATCATCTTACTCTGGTTCCAGGATATACTGGTAATATAGCTAAGGTAATCCAGTTCTGTTTAGTAATGAACATAGCTGTATCACTTCAGATAATCTTCTCACTTGATGATGTTATTGACAGGTAGAAACACCTGTATTTCTCCATTAATGCTTAAGTATATTGCACAGTTTTTACAGAAGTCAGGAATGTATTCCCTTTGCTAATACTCAGTGGTTTAGAATGCTAACAATGAATTTTTTATCTCTTTTTCTCTTTATTTACAGAGAAAGCATCTCCTTAATAAAATAGATAATAGCAGTAAGCCTTAAAAATAATGTAAAAAGGAGCCCAAATGAGTAGCTAGGCTGTGAAAGGACAGATGTTTTCTCTGAAATCTGCTGTACCCATTGTTGCAAGTGTATGGCAGCATGGAGAATCTTAGCCCAGCAGTGTTACTCACATTTGCACATCAGGTGACTAGGGCAAATGACAGCATACTAAATTCTAAAGCTTATTGCTGACCTAATGCTTAGAAAATGATGAGTTTTTGGAGAGCAGAAGAGTGTCTTCATTTGAAGTGAATCCCTGTTTTCCTTTCTCTGTACGTTGTGGCATCAGTAATATAATGAGGGTGTCCAGTAAATGCATGATTTGCTGCTCTTGATACCCGTCTCTATAAACGTGGCTTTTCGAGGTTGGGTGCCAAGAGTTACACTGAGTAAGAAACCTCTCCATGTGCTGGGACCTGATGAAGGTAGACAGTAAGAAAGGACTTAAAGCAGACACTTGGTTATGTACAGGGTTTGAGTGAACTCGAAAAGAACTTGGAGATTGCATTCTTTACTTGTATCTGAAGGAGCTTTGTGGAATCTATAACTCTGTGGCTATGGAAGTTGTCACTTTGATGTATCAAACAAATAAGTTGTGGGTTTTTTTTTGTCCTGGGACTGCTGTGCACCTCTGACTCCAATTTTGATACCTCTACAAGGATAATTACAAACTTCTTGCAGAGTTTCAGTCAGCAGGGATGCAGAAGAACTGAGTTCTAACTCCCAGCTGGTAGAGCAATAGGAGCTTGTAATATAGACTTCCTAGATCTTCTGGTAGATCAGTATAGCAGTTACAGCCAGTGTCAGTTCGTTTCTTCAGGATTCAGGTTCCCTTTCTGTTTGTTTGCCTAGTTCTTAATGTATATCAGGATACATTGTAATCAAGGCCATCAGAACTAGTCATGAGCAAAAGGAGTAGTACAAGAATGTTGGAGGGTTGGGGTGAAGGAATATCACTCTTAAACACATTTCAAATACGTGACCTCATGATGGGAGCAGAGTCAAAAAAGACTAAATTGATGGCTTTGGAAACTAATCCCACTGTTCTTGCAGGCTTTTTGGTACATAAAGAAATGCCATTGAAGCATTAATTGAAAGTAATCTTGAAGTTTAAGATAACTTGTTCTGAAATTTGGCCTAAACACAGTTATTATTGTATTATAATCCTAATTTGGTTACTTTGCCTCAGACACACAGTTGGTGTTACAGCTATAAGTGACTTGACAAACACTTTCTCTTTTTTTTCCATCTAGGATGTAAATGCTTATTTATTACAGCTACACTGACATGACTGGGAAACTATGTGTGCTTATGTGGTAAAACAATCCCCTAAAGTATCCGTGAAATATGTACTGTTTCTGAAAGCCTTTTGAGAAATACTGGCAGAAGAGAGCTGAACTGTCAAGCTGTTTAATGAAACCACTAACAAAATCCTAACAATCTACTTCACATTGAAGTGGAAAAATGTTTAGTAGGAGCAACTTTTACTTCAGTGAGGTGAAAGTGCACTATGAAAACTGTATGCCTTTGCTGCATTTGGGATTCACTCAGTTACTAGGTATTCATTTAAATGCTACTGTATTTTACTACAGCATCACATAAAAGAAGATGAATTATACCGTCATGAAGACGGGACAGCAGAACCAGTTAAGGAACCAACAAAAGCAATCAGCATTAAGAGCTTTTAAACGTTGTTTTCACAAGAGAACTCCAAAATGCACATCTTCAAATTATAGTAAAAAAACCTTCGGAATATTCAATTACTTCTGTGTTTTAATCAAATTATTACAGACAGATTTTGTTTGCACTATTGAGAAACTCTACAGCAAAGATGCCTTAATTAATTACTAGGATGTCAAAAAGCCAAGGTGTTAAGATGCAGATAGCTATTGTGTTCAGATTGTGATGAAAAACTATGAAAATCAGGGTTTCACATTGTGTAGTTAATGAAACATTGCACATATACAAAAATTCATGTATAAAAAAAATATTATAAGTACCTGAAGTTAAGCTTGGATAAACAGTTATTGCAAATGTCAGCAGAATGGTGAATTCATGTCTAACAAATGTTTTTATATTGTATGTGGATTTCTAACACAGTAATCTTGTTCTGTATCATTTAAACTACATGCAAATAAGTAAATATATTAAATGTATCCACTGTTTTTTCTTTTCAAGTTCATAAAAACAATTTCTAGAATAATCTCTTCCACAGTAGTTTTTATGATAGGTATTTATGTGTATTGTTTGAAATGTTTACAGCCAGATGAGGCCATGTTATTCAAATCGCACCCTTTTTACACTACCTCCTTTAAGAAACTGACAAAGAGCTTTTTCAAAATTAATCGAGTTCTAGCCTGATTGATGATGGCAAATTCATACCAACAATAGCATTGAAAATACAGCTATAAACTCTTCTGCTGTTCCATTGCTATCCTGTACTATTTTAATTTAAAAGCTATAGCTTAATAGCTCTGAGGGAGTTTTGATTTTAGGCCTTTTTTTATTTTGTGATTAGGAAGAATGCTTTTCCAGTTGAAACTTACGAAGTGCCAGCTGTTCACTTCAAACATAAACATACATGCACAGCATGTATCACCAAATAGTCTACTTTCTTAAACAGCTAAGTACTTACAAGGGTTGTTGTCATACCTAGCATTAAGCATATGCACTTTTATTGACATGCGGGAGACAAGTCTTTTCATAGCCCCAAGTGGTTTTTGCTTTACAGATGAAGTAAATGAATTTTAAAGTCTTGCAGTGGTCAACAGCTCTAGGCCTCCTGTTGCTTCGTTTTCTATTTAATTTACATATCATTATTGCTGGCTTCTGATGGCCAGCTAGAAATCTGTCATCAGAACTTTGGTGCTTTTGCTTATTTGAATATTCTTTAAACCACCAAAGGTTTTGCGCTTCCCCAGGCAGTCAGCTACAGGGAAGAATTTCTGGGTCATCCCAAAACTGAGAACTCTGTGGGACAATCTCGAGATACGCACACAGCCAAGTTCTTTTTGCTAGAATTGCGATGTACTGTTGGAGATATTTCACACACGAGAGACTGAGATAAACTTACTACTCTTTAAGTGTTCTTGCTGTCAATTAAAAATTTAAAGGAACTACACTATGATGACGTTCTTTTATTACTTTACTGTTCTGTTGAGCACTTAGATGTAAAAGCAACATAAAGACTAGCCTCATAGTTTGGGTAGTAATTACTGAAACTCTTAGATTATTCTTCAGGGAGAATACTGTAAAGGTGATGGAAACTCAGATCTTATTTTCTCCTATTTTTTTTAATAGATAAAATGAAGTAACTCATGGCCATTTATTTCTGATTAATACAGGAAGTAATAATTGTAATTGATTAAAGTGAAATACTCTAGTATTCAAAAATGCGGCTTGACTGTAATTGTAAATACGTGGGCTTATAATGAACTCTGCATGTGGCCATGGATCTACCAGATCATAACTCTGGATGGTGCTTTTGTTATAGTGGCAAGGTAAGATTGACTTGAGGATTGTTATTGAGAAAAAGCTAATAAAATAATGCATTATTTTTAACTGCAAAAAATTGTATTTTGACAGCATCAATAATACAGTATTAAATGTTAAGTCATTAGTATCTGTGCCTTATTTTAAGTGATTTTTTTTTTACTGTTTTCAGGCAGCTGCTAAGACTGTAACAACAGGATTCTGTTCTCTCTCCATTATGAAATTATTTTTGTCATAATCATTTAATCTATTCACGCTGACATTCAGGCTCAGCTTGTTTGTATGCCCTGTAGTTCTCAAATGGCTAGGAATCAGTTTTGCTGTAATAGAATGTATACGTATGATATCTGCTCAAAGGTGACATGAGTAAAAAGTCTTGAAAGCTGTGTAACTCCATGAAATCCATGTGGTTGTCTCAGTTTGTCTCAGTGAATCTAAGAATTAAGTTTATGAATAATTGTGCATAAATGCTAATCTTTGTGATACTTCCTGAAAATGCTGTTTCTAGGATGTGTCAAAAGATCCAGGCAGAATTAACCCTTAATCCTGTACGTTCTTGTGATGTAGAAGCATGTGTGTACATGAGGATGACAGATGCCTCTGCAAAGCTGTTCTTCATGTTACACGACTTGATATGAAATTAATGTCTTTGAAAAACAGTACGTCTTGCTTCAATCTTCCTTGAGAGTACTTGAGGCTGTTTTGCTGAAAGGGTTTTTATTTGACACGCGAACTACCCATCCCCTAAATTGAAATTAAAGAAGCATTCTGACAAACTGCCTCTTTGTGCAGAGCTAAAAAAACCCCATATTCTGGTAATGTAGGAATCAAAATTTAGGTATTGCTGATAGCTTGCTGAAGAGTGGACATGGAGAAAGCTGCCCTATTAACTAGCTGGGTATAAAGGAGCTAGTGTGTCTTGATGATTATGTGTAGCTCCATTTTTGAAGGAGTTACACCTGTTTCTTAGTAGAGAGTACTCTGCAGTGGAACACCATTGTATCACACAGGCACTGCAGTTCCAGGCTGCATAATAGTGCTTATAAATTGTTACTGGTATTTAAAAAAAAAAGAAAATCGGCGTCGGTCCTCCAGGAGTGTATCTTCTGCAGTGAGATGTAATTAAAATGATCTTTCTATTTCTGTAGGCTACCTTGTTGTTATCAGAATCTGCGGTTTCAGCATTTGGTGTGCAGGAGGGATGGGAGAATAGGAAAAGACAAAAAAAGAGAAAGTAATCATGCCCTATGTTGAGGGATACCAGCTTCACTGTGTTATACCGGATGTATCTTAAAGCAGGCTGTATTTTCATCTTCTGGTATCTGAAGTAGGCAAGTTTGGAGTTACAGGGCTTTATGCATTTTACATTGAAAAGAAAGTTTTGAAGATGGATGCTTCAGTGCCGATTTGTGGTGTGGTGTTTTGTTTTTTTTCTTAAAAGGGTGGACATTTTTGTGTGTAGAAACTTGAAAGTATCTGGTGCAAGCTTACATTTTGAAACTAGCAAGTAGTTGCATTTGCAAGTTCATCTTGCTAAATCTTCCAGTTTTACAGAAGACTGAATGTCTGTCTTAGCATGGAGATTTGCAGCTGTATTTTGTGCCCAGTTTTCTGGTACAAAGGAAAACGGGTTGTTCATAGTCAACTATTTTGGAATACAAACTCATGCAAATCATGCTACTGGTGTGAAGTTATTCCAGCTTTTGTACATTGCAAATTATGTAGTTTATGAAAGCAGTTGGTTCTTGTGTGAGGAACTTTATATTGAACTGATCCTGCATTAGAGGAGGAGAAAAAACAAAGACGTTTTTAATAGCCTTGGTAAAAGCCAGACACTGTAGTTTCTCTTCAGTCTACCTTCCTATGCACAGTAAGTGTCGTAGGCTACAGATAAAAATTCACTAAGAGAACAGACTGAGCACACTTGTGGTATTAGTGCTTATATTATACTTTGTTAAACAATTTAATTTTGTTCTGTATTAGGTAAATGGCTTGTTTGCTGTCTTAAAATGAGACTAAATGCAAGTATTTTCTCCCCCTCCCCATTCATCCTTCAGCACTTAACGATGTTATTTCTTCCTCTTCTAGTTTAAATATACTGTGGGTATCTATTGTTAGAAGCAGGGAGGGGAGGATGAAAATTTAAATAAAACACAGGGCTAGCTACTTAACACTATTCATTTTGAAGTAACTGTGAAAACTTTCCCTCTTTAAAGCTTTTCACACAGATTTTGTTAATACCTGTTAATTAAAGTGGGCACTCATGGTTGCAGGTGTGAGTTTGAAGTTGGTTGTAAGAAAATAACCATAGCTGCAGTATTCTATTTTTTTTCCGTTGAGTGCTAAGCTGGACTCTGATAATAACCTGCCATATGGGAGGCAGGAGGTGGAGTGCTGTCCCTTAATGGCATAGAATAGAAATAATCACAGAGACTTGAACTGTTGCAGACCTAGAATATTTCTGTTTCCATACTGACTAGAGTTTTGTAATATATCTCTTCATGTAGATTGTAGCTGCTGATCATATTGCTGTAAAATGAGATTGCTGCTTTCTGGTTGAACGTGGTATGTAGTTTCTGATTCATACAGATCACTGCTTTGGTTCAGTCATTACTTAGAGCTCTGTAGTGCAGGTGAACAACTAACTGTTAGGGTCTCAAACATCTGTACTTTGCTGTAACGAAATACAAGGATGCCATGTTCATGTTTTCCACCTTTTTTTTTTTTTTCCCTTATTCCTCAATTCCAGTGCTTAAAGCCGTTTGAATTCCCTTTAGGAAGCAGTAGCTGCCAAAACACATGATAAAAATGCTTTTTCAAATATGCTTGTGACTTGCTTTAGTACATTTTTGTGAATAATAGTGTTCTGTGAATCTGGGAAGAAGGCTGTCTTCTATATGCATAGGCTTGAAAGAAACAGGACTAGTGGAATTTACTGAGATTGCAACCATTTTCTTGTTTGTTTTTTTTTAAGTAAGTGCTATGTATACTGTGAAACAACTAAAATCTGAGTATCAATAATGTGACATTCCAAGGCTGCCTGCTCTTGTGTATGTGAGTGCTGGAATACATACATAGCCTAGCATCATACTTTAAAGTGACCTGCAGACAGTTTCAAATAGCACTTGTAATTTAGGTTGATGGCTCTTTTTCAGGTTGTATTTAATCTACTGAGCTTCACTTCCAAAAAGTCTGAATTATGTTTGGATCTTGCAGTTGCCACTTTCACTCTTGTTTCGGATATTCCATGGACTGAAAGACTTAGATACTACAGCAAGTATTCCA